CTCTGAAACGTAATAAAACACTTTAGCCAACAGGGCTGTTTATAGACGGACAGGGAGTTACTAGAAAATTAATTTTTAAAATTTTTAATCTTTATTTTGTTCCAAAAGGTGACATCACTTTGAGTCAAATTTTATACAACTTTTAGTAGGTACTTAAAGTCTGTAAAGCTAAATTTTAAGCTGATTATCTTCTAAATCCACCTTATACATGGTTGATAAAGCTTAGGTTGTTTTGAAACATTATAAAAGACTTGCTAAACTATGCGGGACTGAATTTTGGGGAGTTTTTTCTCTTTTCTTTAACGGTTTTGGTTTTCACCTGTAAACAGATTTATGGGTGCTAAAATCTGCTGGATTTTCCCTTTAAAACCTCAAGGTCAAAAACCTTTCCCACCATGAATGGGACGGCTTATTCCAAACTTTGGATTGGACCATAAACGTGGTGAGGCTTTAATACCTCTCAGCTGCCTTGCTCAAACGTGTAAACTCTTTTCTTTCTCTCTCTGTCGTTTTTTTCGTATTATGAAGCATCTCCGGGTCCATCCCCCTCTGGCCTCACGTCGACTTTGCGGTATTTCTTTTCTGCAGTTTAAAGGAGACAGAACAGAAACCAGACTGCAGGCGGAGAAAGCTCAAAAACTAGCTGGACAGGATGGAAACATGGAGCATAACTGAGGAATAATGACGAACGGACAATTATTTTTTTCTTTGCAGGCGTTGCAGATGTGGCCTCTGTGTGCTTACAATTAAGATTCATTCTTCGGCCGCCCTTTAAAGGGCTTGGCTCAATAGCTGCAGTACAGGTGATAATAAAAACTTAAGTTAAGTACTTGGATTCTGTAGGTAAGAATCCAAAAAGCATCGCAGCCAGCTTATGGGACAGCCGTGCTCCACCTATGTCAGGAAGTACAACGCGCTGTAACTGGGTTGGAAACAGCGAAGTTCAGTGGGACAAAACATAATACAATGCAAGAAAATGTAGAGCAAAATTATCTGATTAAACTTGCCATGTGGATTAAAATTAAAAAAGTCTTAGTTTTACCAGTGGCAGCCGGATGTTTAGCGGCCGTGTAAGAAGAGCTGAACGCAAACCATATCACTCTATAAGCTTTGGTCAACAGTTGTATTTATTGTTACGGAGCTTACTTTCAAATTAGATCGGCTTGACTGTAGGACTGTAACTAACAATTATTACACGTTCCATCAAGAGTTAATCTGCTTCATAATTTTAGTAGTCTATAATTAGTCTTTTAATCTTTGTTGGTCTGGAACAACAGTCTGAACCCAAAGCATTTGTCTTATTTTTGCAACAACATAAATGCAAAAAAAAAAGCAAGCAAATCTTGTCACATTTGAAGAAGTGCGAACTAAGCGATCTCTGTATATACTTAATCAGGTTACCAAAAAAAGTTTGGGTGATTAAACTTTTGCCGGTGGTTTAATGCATCAATTTTTAAATCACGTTATTTATTCCAGCGATTCCTTTTGATTTTGAATCACTCTTACACACATAAACTGCACCTCAGTGGCAAAAATGTATTCAGGTTGCTACCTGCACTTGGCAGTTGTATTGGTAGAAGTTGAAAAATTCACAGTGTCTGTGCTGTTAATTTGGAATCAAGTGTGGCTATGTATTTTTTGATTTTCTTCACAGTGGTGGGACGTCACCCATACTGGGGTGGGGCCGTATGACGGCATTTTAACTTTCTTGTCCACGCAGACCTGTTGGGAGTCTCATCTGTCAGGGAGAGAACAGTCTTGATTAAATCTAGTTTACTTCCTGGGCTGCTAACGTCGATAGCCAGCTTGCTGCATTTAAACGGTCACAGAAGTCCTGACGAGAGGATCCAACCTCTCGGGGCCTAAAAGAGATATGGGAGGTGAAAATTTGCCTGAAAAGATTCCCGCCAACTCCTGAACTGCTCCGACATCCTCCCTCCAAAAGTCGTTCGTACGACACATCAGCAGCGATATGCAGGAAACGGAGTAGAAAACTCCAGCGGAGACGATGTGATGACAGGGCCGCTGACCTGCCAGGTCCACCGCCACGTATCTGCACTCTGGAGAGAAGCCAGAGGGAGGGCAGAGATGTCCACAGAGTTTGGCAACCTCAGAGGGCCTCGAGTCCTGTGTCTCTACCAACTGGAATATTATTTGTTTTTTGGTGTTGGTTGGTTTGTGTGCTGGGTTGGTCCCACTTCGCTCCAGACTAATAAGTACACTCCAAAACCTTGCTTGGAGGATTCCTGATTTTTGTACTGAACATTAACGGTTCCCAGATGCTGGAATCCTTGATAACTTTTGGTGATGCCCGTCTGGGTGCCCATCATTTGCTGGTTCAAATTCAACTTGGGTTCGTAGCGATTGTTTTGGTTACGACCTAAATACTACGAAACTTGAATTGACGTGTCCATGGAGCCTCAGGCTGCCACTTTTGTGTCTTTTTTTAGTTGCTTTAATTTTTTAGCACAAATGTTAGCCATGTGGAGACGACCTGAAAACTAAGAGGTTGAAACATTGAGAAGAATGATACCTGCTAAACATCACATGGTTATCATTGCTGGAGCAAATGGTTAGCATTTTAGCTAATAAGCACGGACTCTTACACCTCTGTCCCACAATCCTCATTTATAAACTGTTTTTATCAGTCAGTTTTACAAAGAATATTAAGCAATATTTGTTATTATTTACTGCAAACAGGAGAGCTATTGTTGGGAGCCTTGTCCGAAGAACCACAAAATTTATTCGTTAATTCTTCTCGCCAGCAGAAGCAGCCCTGGCCTTTGGTTTCTTTTGGTGGCAAGGCTTATTGTGGTGAAATATGTGTTTTCATGACAGCACCACTCAAAACCAATGCCTATTTATTGATATCTGCTGGTCTAGTTTAATATACTTTATTTTTGTCACTTTTCACAAAGAAACCTGCCATACAGGTCAGTTAATTGGTGTGTAGATTGTGGCACACCTGGTTTAGTCTTGTTAAAATTTAGGGTGCAATCACCACAACAACATCAAAAATACTTTACCTTTGTAGAAGGGGAATAGGCTGTCTTTGGAATGTTACCACAGGGGTTTTGGGGTCAGCCCAGCCATGCAGCACACACAGTGAACGACCCTTCGGACCCAGATTTTACCTCTGATCTCTGTCCCCATTGACCTGCACAGAGATGCTCTGAAACTGGACACATAAACACAGAAACTATACAACCTCAAAAGCGAACTCACAAACAAGATCTGACTGATGTTTACTTTAATATATTATACCTCTTGTCGTTGTAGACGTCAGTTTGTCGCCGGAGGGTTCTGAAATGGATGTCAAGGGTTGTGTTGATGCCGCGCGCCTCGCCGGTGCAGAAGATGAAGTTGATTCAAGCCCAAAGCCGCCAAATGGAAAAGTGGGAAAACGCACAATGTCTGGGGCCTTGTGAAGCCAGGAAGAACCCTGAATTGCCGCTGCCAACCAATTGATTGTTGAGATTGTTGATTGTGTTTCAGGAGATGTTGAGGAAGAGCTGCAGTCTTGTGGTGATCGCCCAATCATCAAACACTTGCCAAGGTTTTTTTGACTTTTCAACGAAAACAATGGAAGAACATCCATAATGCATTTGCTCATTTCCCTCCCATAATGCTGTAGGCAGCCCTGCCACCAACAGCACACCACCGACTTTCCTCTTTTCTGTAACGAGAGCCCTTCCGCAGTGTAGAACTTTATTACGATATGTGCTGCCAACAATGAGGCTCAAAACCCAACATTCAGCATGTTTTTCCAAGGGGGTTTTGGGAAGGTTTAGGGAGCGAAAAAAACAAATATTAAAACATTCATCTTTTAAAGGATTACATAGAATTGACTTCGGATCTCCAACTATGCGTGTGTCTTGGTGTCGGAGAGTTCAATCTGACGCTCTATTCAAGATCTCAATAATGAGTTAACATATATCTGTGAAAAGGCGTTGAATCTCATTCTTAATAAGGCCGCAACATCTGTTTTGATGATCCATGCAGCTGTGCCAAAATCAATCGTGGCTCTGTAGGTGCCACTCACAGTTGGTTTGTTCCGCCTAACAGGTTAGTTGTCGTTTATGGCTTTACACTCCAACTATGGGTATTTGTTCGGGTTTTTTTGTTGTGGCGCGGAAGTGGGGTACACAGGAATTAATTTGGGAAGAGAAGGTGTGATACGTTTGTTGTCTATCCTGGATCTATGAGTGAAGGCGTGTGTTTCAGTGATGATGTATACCTAACTATCTGATAAGCTTAATTTGAGATTAATGTGGAAGAAGCCTATTTTGGTTCACGGTCACTAAAGCATTTTTGGGGTTTGAATCGCCTCATTCTTTAGGTTTGCTACACCATAGAGAGGTTCGTGACTAGTTATGTCGTATCTAGTCCAACCTTTTGCGTGACCTAGTAGTTGTCCTATAAGGTTGATCGTTTTGTATCCACCTTTTTTTCACGTAGGGTTTATGATGTGGATTTCGTTATTGGAAACCATCATACTAAAAGCATCTGTCAGGACTAACAAGTTAGCGCTCTGAAGTTTTTGCTCGTTTGTTACCTTATCCAGGGGATTCTAAAAAGAACAGCCCCCCCTCTCCCCCCCACAACGCGCGCGCGCACCTTCTCCTGAGAGATTCAAACAAACCCCTCTCACTCCGCGCCACCTCGCGCGCGCGCTCGGCACGCGTCTCGCCACCCCTCACCCCGCTTCGCGGCGTCCTTGAACCCGGATTGCTTTTAGTGTGGAAGTTCTGTATAAGACACACTATGACAGTCGTACAGAAGATTGTGATTTGAGTCAATTCGTCGGGTGGTCTGACAGCATTTATGAAAGGATCCCTATCAGAGAAAGACCTTTAGTTTAAACCACAAACAGCGGGTAAGTATTCCACTCTCCACCAGACTCCAGACACAAAAACACTCATTTTACTTCATTCAAAGTGGACAGAAACAGAATAAAACACCTGTAACGAACGTGTTTTGTGTGTTTTGTGTGTTTACAGGTGAAAGATGAGCGGAAGGCACAGGAAGTGTTTGACTTGGCTGATTATGAGCGTTCGGAGGAGCTGAGGAAAGCGAAGAGTCGCAGCAAGAAGAACCACAGCCGCTTCACCCTGCTGCGCTGCCGGCAGCCAGGAAACACCGTGAGTCACATGATACTCAGGAACTGACCTCCTGTCAGTCTCGTTGACCTGCAGCAGAATGATGGTGGTTGTAATGGATGGTTAAATATCAATAACACTGATGTGACATATTAGCTAGCTCAGTGTTCTACGTGGTAAACAGCTAATGAACTAAATAATAATAAATAAATATCTGGCTGGCCACAACTCGCCCCTGTTGTTCGGGGTCTATAAAGTGTTGGTGCTGCGCTGGAAGTTGTTTGGTTGTCAAAACCCAAAGAACTGGTTCGGGATTAGGCACACTAAACATTAACAAAAACATTAGCTACATTAGCTACATTAGCACAGGACTGTACTTAAAGCAGCTTGTTGATATTGTCGCCCCCATGTGGACAACAGTGGTAGTGTTTGTATTGCCTCATTTCATTGATTTCAAGGGAATCCGACCCGGTGGAAGACATTAATAACAACTGTATAGAAATATCGGATCTGTGTTCGTGTACGTCACATAGAGGCATCCGTATTAAAGTCCTCCTTCCTTCACTCTGTTTCTGTCCGTTTTCACTGTTTCTGTCTTCCTCCTCTCGTGTCCTCTGTGCTCAGAGATTACTCTGCCCAGCCTGACTCACTCTTTCGCTGCATTGGTGGATTTCCTCCTTCGGCCGTCTCAGGATTGGTGGATTAGATTGTATTTCACCCACCGAGCCTCGACTGCAGCCATTGGCCGAGCTGTGCTGGTTTTATTCTCCTCTGGAAAGATTTAATCCTCAGAATCCCATTAGTCCGCCAGAGGACGAGTTTACAGCATAATAATCTCTGCAAACACTTTCACATGTTAGTCTGCCTCTCTCACCCACTCTCTCTCTGTTACAGACACAGGCCTGAACAGAGAATATATAATATAATATAATACATAATATATATTATAGATTAATAGAGAATATAAAGACATTATTCTTGAGTTGATTCTGTATAAAATGTCTTTGTTTTATTTTATAAGTGTGAAATTAACTAAACAGTTTCATTGATATTTAAACAACCGCAGTTATTAAGTATTTCTTAAGAATATTAAAAAACATGTAATCTGTCAGCTACAATGACAACGACTTTCATGACATTACAGAAGTCTGTTTTAAATCATTCCAGCACATTTAAACTAAAGGACCAGTGTTGAGGATTTAGTGGCCTCTAGCAATGACATTGCAAATGGCAACCAAGTGAATACCCCTCGCGTTACCATCCCCTATGGTGAGAAACTACTTGCTTGACCTTCAAAATGGTCAACAGATGAACATTTCTGTCAGTTTGTTTTTGTCTGGTTAACCGTGGACAGGTGCTGTATCTTTATCGCTAACCAAACATTAAAGTAAAGGTTTTGTCTTTTTTCAGGCTCCCAACCTTTTGTTTCTGGCTGTGAGTCCGGAGGAAAAGGAATCATGGGTCAACGCCCTCAACGTGGCAATCATCAAAGCCAAGAACCGCATTTTAGACGAGGTATGGATGTTGGTCAACATTTATTTACCTTGATGAGACTGATTAAGATTTAAAAAAGGTTACTGACCTCCGCAGAAGTGCATTGTTGGATGGATTCTTTTTAAAGTGAGTTAAATATAAATGTTCTTCAGACAGCACCAGAGTCAGTTTGTACGTGTCTGTCCAGGTGACCATCGAGGAGGACAGTGCACTGGTTCATCCCACTAGAGACCGGGCCAAGATTCCTCATGGCCGCCGGCTGCCGACGAGAGGACACCTCATGGCTGTGGTACCGGCATCTCTTTTTCTTAATCAAAGCCTTTTTAAAACAAGACATTATTATCTTTAATAATCATTTTGTTCATTCCCCTCAGGCGTCCACCTCTTCCCATGGCATGCTGACCCTTGACCTGGTTGCTGAAGAAGATGGTTTCTCTCCGGACTACGAAGGCGACTCGCAGGAATCCTGGGAGAACAGCTTCCAAGCCGACCTGCAAATGTCGTGTGGACAGGTTGTCGGATCTCGGGGTGTTGGAGTTCGTCAGCGAGCCGACACAGATGTGTCAAAGCTGCGGGTGACCTCGAAGGAACCCAAAGTAAAAACCGGCAGTCTGCCCAGGGGGAGTGAGCGTTCCTGGGGCAAACAGTCTCACTTGGAGGCCTCCAAGGTCCACAAGACTCAGCAGGTGCAGGTCGGTAAAGTCTAGCATTGTGATCCTTTTAGATCATAGTTTTATCTATGTAATGTACGTAGCCGAAAGCACACATGGAAGTCCTAGAGTTTTGTACGAGATTAAATTGGAGACCTGAATCTAAAGACCCAACCTTCAACAGGTCCTGGACTACAGCTCGCCATGCGAATGCTCCCTAATCCAACTTGAGCCTGAATCTTTATCCCAGAACCTCATTGGAGAATCTCTGGTTTATTCAACCAAATTTTAGATTTTTGTTTTGGTGGAGAGACACACAATATTTCTATGGGATTTGGGCACTATAACTCTAACCTTTGTCCTTGTGTCATCAATGTAAGACATTAATATGCAAACATTTCCATTGAATCACAGGTACGAACAGCAGCCTTAAATCAAATGTTACCTTTCAGGTCCTTCAGGCTCAGTCTCGGACACCGCAGCCGGGGAAGAGGTTCAGCATGCAGGGCCGGAGTCGCTGTGCCTCCATGGATGAAGTCCTGTCCTCCAGGTACACCTGAACACAGCTCCTTATCTGACACACCACATTCACACGAGCATCTCCATCAACATACAGTAACCTTAAATATTTGTCCTAAGGTAGGTCTAATACACTTGAGAACAACAGTTGAAAACTAATGGATCCATTGTCCATCCATCCATCAGACCAAGCAAGGTAGCTCTAGTTGTGTCTTCCTGCTTCTTCTGGGTGATCCCAAGACATTCCCAGACTTGATGGGATATGCAATCCCTACTGTATGTTCTGGATCTGTCTAGGGTCTTCCTCATCCAGAAGGCATCCTGATCCAATACTTGCACAACCCCAATTGGCTTTTTTTGGAGATGGTTGACAGTCCAGTCCAGATGTAAAAGAAGAGGGATGGAGGGAGGGATGGATGGATGATGAATGGAGGGAGGGATGGATGGATCTTTAAGGTTAATTTCTGCTTGTAAAGGTTCAATGTCTTTCTCTGTTTTTCTTTCCTCCTTTCGTCCTTACCCTCCTCCTCCATCCCATTCTTCAGACCGGCGATGATTCGCTCTGAATTGCGCTCCGCTCTGCGTCGATGTCCAACTGAAGAGGAGGCGGGGGGTGGAGCTTCAGTGCAGCCGGTTGGTCAGCTGCAGAGCCTGATCGCCCAGAGGATGCAGAGAGCTCAGGAGCTGCTGGAGGAGATGAGACTGCAGGTACCTCGTCCATGTGTTCATTGAGCCTAGCTCATTAACCAGAATCAAATAAAATATAATTAGGACTAATGTGTGATTCACAGGAGCTGCAGAAGGCAAAAGCAGAGAGAGAACAAGCAGGCAGCTCAACTTATCTGAAGGGCATCGACTCCCCTCGCCTCCACCACCTCAGGGGCTCAGACTCTCCTCACTCCAGGTTGGTTTTATTATTTTCCTCCTAAGTATGTGCACTTTTAATCTCTCCAAATTAAGTCAAGGGAGGACATGAGATCGTCTTTCTGTCCTTCACACTGAACACTTGGTGGATTACTTAAAGTTAATATGGGCATTTGGATTTCACATTGGAGTCACAGTAATAGCTATCAGAGTTTTCTCTCCAAATTAACTCTGGTTCTTGAACTGGTTCCATTCAAATACCAGAACATGTTTCCACCAGTTTTGAGTGGAACCATTGAAATCAAGGATGTGTCACCAACAGGGGGCGCTGCACAGCAACCTGTAGAATATGACACACCCACTTTGGCGCCCAAAGAAAAACTGATATATTTTGGTTCCAACTGGGACCAAATTTCTTTTTGGTCAAAACCAGACGTGTGAACTGGAACAGAGCTATACGAGTCCTCACCAATGGGTACTAGAATATACCCATTCGCTTCTCGAATTACATTTATGATGTTGCACTTAAAAAGTGACAAAAGTAGTAGTAAGAATCGAAAAAGAAACCTGGAAAAGAAGTTCAACCTGCCTGCTTTCACACCTGTGGGCAAAACGCTCGTTTGTACAACATGAGTTTGTGAAGATGGAAACACAGGCCTGCCTGATTTTTTAAACGGGATCCAAGTTTAACTGATTTTTGTTGTCCTCCTCAGCAGGTCGTCTGGATCTCCAAGGAGCAGGAGCAGCGACTCTCCTCGTCTCCGGGGTAAAGACTCTCCTCGTCTGAGAGGGAGAGAGTCTCCACGATCCAAAGCAAAGAGGAATCGCTCCAAAGGGGCCGACTCGCCTCGCTCCAGAGGATCCCATTCACCTGCCGCTAAAGCAAACGACTCTCCTCGACTGACCACCACTGACTCTCCTCAGACGAAGAGGTCCGAAGCAGTCCACTCGCCAAAACTCAAGGGATCATCCAGCTCCTCTTGTGCCAACTTTCCTCAGCAGAAGTCACCTCCATGCATCAGAGGATCCGACTCCTCTCAGCTCAAAGGATCTGATTCACCACAAATCAGCGAAACCGACTCCCCAAGTCTGGGGAGCAGCAAGGAGTCACCCTGCCTGAGCCAGAAGAACTCCCCAAGTCTTTCTGGATCCTTTGAGTCCTCGCAGCCCAAAACCCCCGAAAAACACAGCTCGTCTCCACCTCCGCCCTCTTCGCTTCCCTCCCTGCTGTCGGAGGAGGACCTGGAGGTGGAGAACAGGCGAGCAGAGGCTGAGCGTCTCCTGGAGGAGGCTGTGTCGTCGTGGAAGGAGGCACAGGAGGTCCTGCAGGAGGTGAAGGAGCTGCAGAGCCAGACACTGCGGCGGCAGCGCAGGAAGACCTACGAGAAGATGACGACTATAGCGGCAGCGGCTGGGTTGCCCACGGCGACCACGGCAGCAGACGAGGACGACACACCCACCTCGCCGACGTCACCTGAGGACGACGACGAGTCCGAGACGCCTTGACAAGGATTCTTTTCTAGAAATATTTATTGAATTTTCTCCATGAGAGTAGCAGTGTTTCTTAGCATGCTGATGCACAAAAGACAGAATTTTCATAATTTTTAATTCCTCAAACATTTTTTCATCTTTTAATCGGACGGAAGGATGCACCTGAACACTTAAGCAATGTGGATTATTGTGAAACCAGCGATACAGTTCTTCCCAGGAGGTTTAATGACTTTAATCCTCCACAGTGCACTAGACGCCCTCTCTCTTCTGCTGCCCGTTTGATGCCACAAAAGATGTCACGTTTAATTTGAGCAGATTTTAATGGAGGAGAGGCGCTTCCCTTCACCTTCCCCAACGGTGCTGCACGCTTTTCTTTTTTGTCTCTTTTTGCTGAAAGTGAAGCGAAATGCCTCTCCGAATATTTCAAAGACTTTTTACCCCCATGAGGTTTTTTGGATATTTGGGGTTTTGTTTTTTTCCGAGCAAAGATGTCAACATTTCTACAATGGGAGACTTTTTCAAAGTAAAGGCACTGAAGAGCACTATGTTTCCTACGGGCACGGTGGGGGGGGTTCTTTTTAAGTAATGGCACACTTATTGAGAGTTTAAATATTTATTACCTGATTTATTTGCTAATATGTATTAAGTCTGCTTGTGTGACATTTCTGTTGAAACTAGGGATGAGCGAGTACCATTATCTGCAACAACATTAACTGTACTCAACTTAAACGTTAATGGGCGGGGCTACGTCAAAGTTTAAGCCTGAAATGACTTCGGGTTGATCAGAAGTTGCTATATTTATGAGAAAACTATTTACAGTATGGATCTTTAGAGCAGTTTAAGATAACTAATTACAGAAGTGTTTTCAATAAAAGTTGCTATATTTACATACAGATATTGACACATTATCTGTACTGGACACTCGCTCAGCCCTTGTTAAAAAGATCTTATGAATTGTCTCTGCTTTAGTTGTAGCCCCATATTGACCAGATTAATCAACCTACAACAAAAATCAGGGAGTTTGTTCACCACCCAAGAGATAATAAGCAATAATGTCAATAAGAAATAAAGAAAATGTCTTCACTTCACTTCACTTCACTGATCACTTACGGCTGTAACATAAACGTGGTCACATTAACCTGCTCGGAGGCTCCTGTAACACATTATTTAAATAATGTTCTGGTATTTTTGAAGTGGGTTTGTATGAGGTACACAGTCAGTGTGTTACCTGCAGGAGCAAACAGGAAGTGGAGCAATGTATAACAATAATAATAATAATAATAATAATAATGTAATTATATAAAAACATATTTCCAAACAAATAACTTTATAGAATAAATCGGATCCAGTCAGCGATGAGTGAAGTCGTAGTATCACTAGTTTAGTTAGCGTTGTGGTAGTTGCAAAACAAAACTCCCATAGAGAAACTGCTGATTTAAGGCAGCTAGTAATAAATGAGTTGATCGAGTTTATATTGCATACTGTTAGTGTTTATCCTTTAGAGGGCTCCTAAAAATATATATTATTATTATTAAAAATATTTAGAACATTTTCACGGCTATGTCCATCTCCACACTGGAGGGGGCGCTATGTATAAGTACCTCATACAACCGCACTCAGAAACACCAGAACTATCCCTTTAAATGATGAAATTGAAGCACTGAAAATATACATAATGAAACATTCGCGTCACAGACAAATGACAACGCGTTGTACTGAGATACAGAAAGGTAGAAACCTCATTGATCGCTGCTTTACATCTGACCAAATTGCAGAGGTCAATATAAGCAAGTTGAACACAGAGATTCAGACTGAACTATAAAAGCCACTGTTACTCTCTCAGTGACTGAATAAATCCCAGCATCAGGTTCAGTTTCTCAACTTTATAACAAACCAACTCTAATGAGAATGTGTTCACAATGAAGAGAGTTACAGTGGTTCAGTCTGAATCTCTCAGTGTTGGTAACTAACGGATCTTGACCTCTCCAATATGGCGGCCGTGCAGTCAAATGGAGAACGCCGTATCTACGTTTTTATATCTGTGACTTAATGTCTGGATTTAAGTCTCGCGGACACAAATGAGGAAACATAGAATAAATAAATAGATTTTACTGTATGTTTATCAAACTAACATTTATGGACTCACAAATAAACAAAATTAGACCTAATTAGCGCGACACTGTTAAAATACACTTTTATTTATTATATGGAGGACGAGCTGTTTTCAGACCGATCAGCTGATCAATATCAGTATCTGTTTCACACATTTTGTGTTGGTTGTTGTAACTTTAAGTAACTGAGTTTCTGTCACAATGTTTAACGGATGTTTTTTGGTGTTTTTGCACATTTGTGAGACGAGTAGAAGACGACAGCGACGGGTTGCACACGGCCGTCGTTCTGTGAGTGACGTTGGTGAATCACTGTATTAAAAACTGTTCTTTTCTTTTATTTAAAGATTTATATGTTGATGTTGTTTGAATTACTGTATACAGCAATGCATTGTGGGTAAATGGAGCCACACAGTTTATTTTCAGTTTGAAGCATACAGACTTCGTTTTCACACAGAAATAAAATAAGATTTAAAACAGAACTGAAGTGAGATTATTATTAATATGAATGTTTTTATTCTGTCGTTACTGAACTAAAACTGACTGTAGATTTTTGTAGATTTTACGTTGAAATTGGAGAATCAGTAAGACATTTGATCTGGACTTTAAGGTCGTCGATGTATCAGCAGATATTGTAGAAACACTGCGTTTTACAGCCGTCCTCACTGAACCTAACGAGGGATTTAAAGTCTGAGTCTGGTGAGAGTGGTCTTTTATATCTCATCAGCTCGATCGATGATTTTATCTCATTATGACTTTAATCCTGCTAATAATCAACATTTTCACTAAATATAACTGCAATCTGATTCTTTTTGTATCCTGATTACTCAGTTAGATGTAATCCATTACTCCCTCGTTCCCGCTGTATAATCTCTATAAAAATCAGATTAGAAGCTTCTGCTGTTCGCTCGATATAACGTGTGCAGATACTTCCTGATTCCAGTCACATGATCCACTCATCCAGCTGTACTATTGGCCGACAGCCCGGCACACGCACACAGAGTCAGTGATGTGTGTGTGTGCGTGACGCTGTTTGTTCTGCCCTACATCTGCTCTGCTCCACATTACAGCTCACTGACCTGACTGAGTGTGTGTGTGTGTGTGAGAGAGTGTGTGTGTGTGATTATATATGCATGTGTGAGCATTTCTTAATGACTAATCTGCTGACTTTATGTGTGTCGACACATCAGACACTTTAAACTGTAGAGAGAGATATCCCCTTTGTCCAACAGCTGAGAGTGAAAAGAGATAAAAGTTGAAATGATAAGTGGAAATGTTATCTGGCTAACGATAGCTTTCTGTTAGCCAAGATCAGTTAGCTAACTGTAGCTAAGCT